ACAACATGCGCCTAACCCAATATATGAAACGCTCAACTCTAACCCAATCCTAACCTAACCTTCAAACCTGAGCCCATCTTATTCTTAAATTTTTTAGTTTTTATTGAATTCAGGTTGAAATTTCAGTTTCAGAATTCCAATTACCACACTAACTTTATCCTATAAACATCTTTAATTACCACATTATCTTTATAAAATTTGTAGACTACCTTCTTATTCTTATATGTGTTTGTAAACTAGGCATACTTAATGTAAAAATTAAAAGATGAATAACCTTTAGCTTTTTAACAATTGAAATAATTGAAGGTATATATATAATATATTTAAAATTAAAATATATAAAATATAAAATTAAAATACAAGTTTAGGTTGGGCTTGAGTTGCTAGCAAGTAACACTAAACTTAAGCATAACTCTAAATAAATCCAGGATAAAATATTTCAACTGAGCCCCAAATTCGTAAAAAATCGAGTTCAATTTAGGTTGACCAGTCTAAATTACGCCTACAATGATAGATAATTAGAGTGTGTTTACTTTAACTTTCAATAAATAAATAAATACAATATTTCTGAATCTCAACTTCCTTTTTTCTAACAAATTACACACAGTTCAAATCTATTTAGATAAAAACTTAAGGGCCCGTTTGGCATGTGTTGTACTACTCATTTGTGCCTTTTGTTTCTCTCTTTTCATGCAGCTCGTTGGAGGCGATTTCATGGTGATTCTTCATTTACCTTAGACTATGGTTGCTAGACCACAGATCGATCATTTTTCTCTATAGATCTTTTAGGAACCCTACCATTTTCCTCACGTATTTGGTTTTTATATTGATCCTCTCTTTATTATCTGTTTAGTGTATTTATTCTTAAATAGGATAGTAGATATGGATATAAGGACAAAAATTATATCACTTACTGTAGCGGCCATAACAAGTATATTAGTTCGCAATATTGTATGATGATGAGGAGAAGGAAATTATTTTATTGATCGCAGCCATATATGAGTATTATGACAAACATTTCAATAAGCGACATTGTAGGGATTCCATGTTACAAGTTTTTATATGAGTATTATGACAAACATTGCTTGATGCGGATGACATTGTTGAGGTCATTGCTACTAGATCACAGTTGTGACAGATGGATATTTATCGTGATCATATTGCTAACCTAATTTGGGAGATTTATAATAACTAATTATAGTACGTAATTTTACTAACATGCATACAATATAGATAATGTAATAATTTATGTTATATTAGGATACAAAATATTAAATGTTTTAGTACTTGTAAGCGCAATTATGTATAGGCTTAAAGGTGAGAGACCACAATGTGCATGTGGTAGAGGTCCCATGAATCTCAATAGGGCTGGAACTCCAAAAAAATTTAGACGACAATGCTATAGGTGTCCAACTTGGCTATGGCTGGGTGAAAGACTTTAATCTTTTAGGTGTTATTTCTCTTAGTGTTTACTAATTATATAATTTATATTTGTTGTAGTCACATATCCATGCATTTATATGGGTGGATGAGTTGCACCAAGTTGCATGCATTAGTTGAAGAACGTGTTCATGATGACTTGAACAGTCATTGCAATGATTCAAAATGAACAATGTAGACAGAATTACATGATCTTCCTAGGTTGTGGATGTGTTACTATTGCAACCATGTGTATTGTGATTGTCTTTTTTTTGCTCATTATCGTTGTTGTTGAGAAATGAAGTTACATACATTTGGATATTGTGTAATACATGGCATGTAATAGATACTTAGAAGATGTCTAAACTTAGATCTTGTCTTTACTTTGGTATGTAATATATACTTAGAAGATGTCTAAACTTAGATCTTATCTTTACTTTGGTATGTAATATATACTTAGATGATGTATAAACTTAGATCTTCTATATTCTATGTTATTGTATTATAACAGAGCCAATATTGGGATTGAAATTGATATTAATGGTGCGGATGTTTGCTGCTGTGCACTACAATTAAGCCAATATTGGGATTCAAATTATGTTTGAGTGACTTTTTAAAATGTGGTTTGCAACTGAATTTGAAAAAAGGTGACTTATTTGTCTTCTTAACATTTTTGTTTCTATTCAATTTCATTTTAAATTTTGTTCTTTCTATTCTATATTGAACAATGAGTATCATTTTCTATATATTGTGCTTCTATTTGCATGGGATTGCTACTGTGCTCTACAACTGAGCCAATATTGGGATTGAAATTGACTTCATATTCAGAAATTTTCAACCAAGTTTGAAAAAAGGTAACTTAGATATTCTACTTCTTTTTTAGTGTATAAGAATTTTGTAATTATCTTTATTTGTTGCATGTGTTGTTGTCAGTTCTAACCTCTCTTCATTTAATATAGTTTGTGCTTGGTTCCTAGTATCTATTGTGCACATTTGTGCAATCCTTGTGATTTTGATTCCCTGCATGCGATTACTTCTGCATTGCTTGTTGTTGGTACTTCAACCGTGATCTTGGGATTGAGCTTGGGGTCATTTTCTGAAATTTGTAACTAAGCCTTAAAAAAAGGTTAGTTATATATCATTTAATATAGTTTGTGCTTGCTTCCTAGTATCTATTGTGGACATCTGTGTAATCCTTGTGATTTTAATTCCCTGCATGTAATTACTTCTATCACTTGCTTCTTGTTGGTACTTCAACTGTGATCTTGGGATTGAGTTTGGGGTCATTCTCTCAAATTTGCAACTTGACTTGAGAAAAGGTTAGCTATATTTCATTTAATATAGTTTGTGCTTGCTTCCTAGTATCTATTGTACGTGGACATTTGTGTAATCCTTGTGATTTTGATTCCCTGCATGTGATTACTTCTGTCACTTGCTTGTTGTTGGTACTTCAACTGCGATCTTGGGATTGAGCTTGGGGTCATTTTCTGAAATTTGTAACTAAGCCTTAAAAAAATGTTAGTTATAATTCATTTAATATAGTTTGTGCTTGCTTCCTAGTATCTATTGTGGACATCTGTGTAATCCTTGTGATTTTAGTTCCCTGCATGTAATTACTTCAATCACTTGCTTGTTGTTGGTACTTCAACTGTGATCTTAGGATTGAACTTGAGTTCATTTCATGGAATTTTCAAAACTAAGCATGAGGTATAAAATGCAACTGTTTTGGTATTTTGATTCTGCAATACACTTGTGCATTGATCCCTACTGTCCATGTGTGATTATGGACATTTCTGTAATCTTCTTCATTATACTATATGTGCATGTGGTTTGGATGTTGCTGTGTACACAAACTATGGACGTGGACTGAGCATGATTAAACCTGAGAATGAGCTACCATATGCTACTTGGTTGGTTAATGGTTTTAATTCATGTGTTGCTTTTGTCAATTCAGTATTCTAATTTATGCAATCCAACTGGCAGTTGCTTATGATGGATATTTGCTGTCTACTTGATCAAATATTTGGAGTGTACTACAATGGATCATTCTCTGAAATTTTGCAATGCAATTGGCAGTTGCTTGCTTGCTACTGTGCTGGCAGTAAAATTTTGTTTTTTTATTAAAAAAAATCAGTAATATTGGCTATTGAGGGTGTTCGAAATGTAGTGTCACTTCGATGTGTTGTTGCTGAGTTCAATTGTGGTACTATTTGGTTGGTTTCTGGAGTAGCTAATGTGTAGCCACTGAGTCTGAAAACAGGTCAAAAAAAAAAAAAAAACATGCCTAGACTATGTCTCTTTTAGTAATATTTCATACTATTGTCTTCTAATTGTGGTGTCACTTTGATGTGTTGTTGTTGAGTTCAATTATGGTGGTACTACTTGGTTGGTCTCTGGAGCGGCTAAAGTGTAGACACTGAGTCTGAAAAAAGGTTTAAAAAAAAAAAGCATATCAAGCATATTCTAACTTGGTCTAATTATTTTTTTTTGGGTACAAATACATTATTGTCTTACTTCTGACCATCTTCGTTTGCTGTGTTGGTGCTGAGTTCAATTTTACTTTTTTGGATGGTGTGTGCTGCTAAGTTGATATATCTATTTCTGTTGAGGTTTTGCAACTCTACTCTCCAATGTTGCTGAGTGCTATACTCACAGATTACTGCACAATTTTGTATTGCTGGAATGCTACTCTCCAATTTTGTACGCCAATGTAATTTTCAGATTTTTGAACAATGTAGCAAATGTAATTTTTTTATTAGTGCACTTGGTTGCTAATGTAAATTTCGGACTAGTGCACAATGTAGCCAATGTAATTTTGAGATTAGTGCACTTGGTTGACAATGTAATTTCCAGATTTGTGCACTTGGTAACCAATGTAATTTCCTGATTTGTGCACAATGTAATGTCATTTTCAGATTACTGCACAATGGATGGCTTAAAAATACTAGCCAATTTTCATATTACCCAATTTCATAAAAGTTCTATTGAAACAAATACTACAAATCGTAACACAATTGGTGACTTTAAAATGGATTTTAAACAAGTTATTGGAAACAAGTTTAATTGTGTTGTACAAATTGATACCATAAATTCACTAATAATATTTTCAAAATACGAGACCAACAAATGAAATGTTGAGTTTTTTACACCATAAATTCACTAATAATATTCGAGACCAACAAATGAAATGTTGAATTTTTTAGACCATAAATTCACGAATAAAATCAAATCTCTCTCTCTACAAGAATTATATATAATGGAATGCCTCATAATTTCTTTAAAATTCTCCAAATTTCAGTATATGCTCTGAGATATGTAATTTTATTCCAAATGTTAATGGATAAATATATATGTGTGTGTGTGTGTCTGTGTTATGTACAAAGACACAATATTCGAACCTTTGACATATAATTTTAAATTATGAAATCATAGCTTGGGCAAGATCGTAAAGCATTAGAAGCATGCCACGTGGACGATTGATCTGCCACGTGCTCAACCTCATTTAATGCAACGTCAGCTGCGACCAGCAACTACTTAAGCCAACAACCACCTCTCATGTGCAACAATTAAAGCCTCAACAACCAACTTGTTCTATATACACACTCAGCCTCTCTCATCAATTCACAGTTTGATTCAAACAAAACAAAACCCAAATTGTTGATCACGATGACGATGAAGAAAATGGGTTTCTTGATTATCATCTCTACAGTGCTGTTTGTGTGCGGTTCGGTGGGTGAGGCGTCGACGAACACAGATCAGTGTACCAAGGAATTCGACAAGGTGACGGCGTGCCTGAATTACGCGACGGCCAAGGCGGCGACGCCGACCAAGGACTGCTGCGATGGGGTGACGGAGTTGAAGACAAGTAAGCCAGTGTGCCTGTGTTACTTCATACAGCAGACTCACAACGGCAGTCAGGAGATCAAGAGCTTGGGGATACAAGAGGCTAGGTTGCTTCAGCTGCCTTCTGCTTGCAAGCTCGCTAATGCCTCTGTCAGTGACTGCCCAAGTAAGATTTTACTACCTTCTCTCTCTATATCTCTCATCTCTTTCTCTCTCTAAGATATCTGTCATGACTCATTTAATCAGTTAATTTTTGGTTCACACACAAACACACATATATGCTACAGTTTTTGGTTAGTTATGGAGTATCATAAAAAGTTGTATGCATTATTGGATTTAAAGATTGTTACATACTGTATATCTCCGGTTGTATTTGTGGTTGTTGAGTGTTTTAAGGATTCGTGTCGTCTCAAACATTCCAAGTTAATCAAAAATAATAAATAAAAAGGTAAGAAATTACCCTTTGGCTCCTCCAAGCTATTGATCAGGATCTCCTCCAAGTTTTCTATATGTAAAACTATAGGGTTAAAAAAAAAAAAAAAACATTGGAGGAAATTATATACTACTCCGTACTATATTAAAATTATACTTACGGAGTATGTAATATTTTATCGAGAACATTTATTAAAATGTACTTTGGCATAGCATGATGAGACTAGTCAGTCGACACAGATGACTTACTGACTTACACTGTAGAATAGTAATGCTATTTGGATTACATGGGATCCCACTTGAATTCCTCGTCCATGACTTGTACGACTTATATATATATATATAAATGGTATTTAGATTACATGGGTCCCACTTCAATACATTCGCCAGCCATTTTAGGTGCACCGCAGCACCGTCCATATCGTGTTGGGTTTGGACATCAATCACCATAAATGAGAAGGGCATATGATGGTGGTGGTTTATGATACCAGCTACCAACTGCCCATTGTGGGGCTAATTTCTTTTGTTTTGACTATGGTCGCTATTATTTTCTACCTTCTTCCAGAGGAGGAGCTGAGTGTTTCTTTTTAGGTGTTCCAGTCTTGGCATAATTAAATGTTCATCCAATGGATATTTAATAATTGTTAAATTTTAATTATGTTAGATTATAAATTTAACCTTTTACCTACCATCTAAGTTTCTTGCACACTACACATTACCATATATATCATATTACCATTTATAGGTTTACTTGTTCACCACCCACCTACTCACAACCTTCTCCTGTATATAGGACCCTATTGTGTTGATTACATACAACAATACAATTCTATATTTATTCTCCCTCTACTTCTAACATGGTAGCAGAGTTTTTATTTTTTTGAGTAAAAAGTCTTATCAGTTTATCGTAGTCACCGTCGGGGTATTAGCAACTGCCAAATCCCCGGCAGGGATCAACTTCAAACTTATACTTCCACACCCTAACCTTCTCCTCTATATTGGAAAAGGTCTTATCTATCAAATGGTAGTGATGGAACATTGATGCTTTTATATTTGGGAAAATGATTTTAAATCCTAAAAGACTGGCTGAAGATGCCAGCCGAGCTTTGGTAAGCCCCTGAATCCCACTACAATATATCCATTAGCTATCAAGACCTCTAACTAATATCTTTGACCAGTCTTTAGGTTTGTATAGCACAGACAATGCTTGTTAGATCAAAATATAGAATAGTTTCATGTGAGACCAATCAACCATCATAAATAAGAAGAGTGGGTTGGGTGGTAATTGGGGCTGCAAGTTGGGCAGGCCCAACCCGAGGCCGACCCCAGCTTGAACTCAACCTGAGCAGGTAGATTTGGGCTAGCTCGAAGCCGAGCCAATTTCGGCTTCCCCCACCAAGCCAAAACTCAACTATGATCGGGTCGTCGAGTTAACCGGAACCTGGCTGTTGATAGAAAGGGTGCAAAGGGTCGAACATACACAGAGACAACTAGAGATGTAAAAGAGAAAAGAGAAAATAGGAGTGCAAGTTGGGCAGTTTCAACCCAGCCCAACCCGAACCCATCCCGAAATTTTCAGGCCTGGGTTGGACGCTTAACAATTTTGGGTTGAACTCGAACGGGTTTTAATAAATACGAGCCCATTATGAGTTGAACTCGGGCAAAAATCTTTCCAACCTGAATCCAATCATAATTATTACATTTATTATATCAAAACTAAATCTTGGCCATCTATTTTAATCCCACAGCCAGTATCACCCCATTACATATACTTATCTAGAATAACAAACCCTAGTTCACTACACTACCGCTCCTAGAGAAAGAAGCCCTAGCCTAGCCGCAATCATTTCTTCATCTCTCCATGGCTGTCATCGTTTTCACCTCTTTTCTGTTGACTCCGCCTTCTTCACCTCTTTTCCGGCGACTGTCACCTCTTCGCCGACACCACCCTTCTCACGACTATGGAAAGGTGTTGACTATTACGCCCCCAACTCTGTTTGAAAGGTTAAATCAAAATACACAAAAGAGCCACCCCTTCATCGCTCTCTCTCCTCTCTTTGCTCGAATTTGGGTCAGTTTGGGCTAGCCCGAAGCCGAACCAATTTCAGGTTTCACCCACCTGGCCAAAACCCAACTATGATCAGGTTGCCGAGTTAACCGGGTTTACCCGATTTTACTTTTTTTTTGGTTTAAAACACAAAAAATCAATTCCCTGTTTGTGGATATCTTTCAAGAGAAACTAAATAAAAAATAAAAAATAAAAAAAACAAGAAGAAAAAATTCTACCCTACTGAAAATATTTAAAAAATGTACACATAAGTTGGGTTTCGAATACTAAAAAAAATGAAAAAGAATCACCCGGACATATAGAGAGGGTGAAGAAATCACAAATGTGTGTGAGAGGGGAAAGGAACCAGCTATTGATAGAAAGGGTGTGAAGGGTAGAATATAGATGGAAATTATGATGAAAAGTGGAAGTGAAAGAAAGAAAATTCAAGTTTTCAATATGCATTTGATTGGTAGGAAAGTTGTGAGAAAATATTATTTAGTTAGTTTGGGTAATATAAAAGTGAAAAGAAAATGATTCTACTTTAGTGAAACTATCCTTATGACCATTAAGAGCTAAAATATATATATATATATATATATATATATAGGGTAAATTACTAACACCTGTTGAGGTTTGCCACATTAATAGCTATATACAAGTTAGATCATTTTTTATGAATGACACCCCGTCAAGTTTGATAAGTTAATAAAGACACCCCCATTGGCGACCCACCACATTTGACATGTAATGAATTTACATTGTTGCCTTTTGACTTATGAATTAACTAATTCAAATAATGAAATTACCTTTCTAACCTTGTATAATATTTATAAAATAAAAAATCAAACATCAAACCCGTTTCTTTGCTTCTCTCCCAATATCGTTTGAACCAATTGCTTCAATATTAAATGATGACCTCTTATATATTGGGAGTATTTATCCTCTATATATAAAGCATATATATATATGTGTGTGTGTGTGGTATATCCTTGTTATTTATGATATTAATCCATGCCTCCAAATCGAAAAAATCATTTCTAAAGCTTAAATCCCACGAACCTCATCCCAATATCTACTTCCATAAGTTCTACTCAATTTAATCAAATAAATAAAATTAAAAATATAATAATTTCTACTCAATTTAATCAAATAAATAACCCCCCCCCCCCCCCCCCCCCAACAACCTTCCTTTGTTTTTTTGAATATTTTATTCTTAGGGAAAATGTACAAACATGCTCCATGCTCCAATTCTAATGGAGAAACTAAGACAGAAGTACCGAAAAACAGTGACATCAATTGAGAACAGAATCACCGAGAGTGAAGACTACTACAATTAAAGGATAGATGATAAGAATAGAAGCATAAGATTAACAAGCGTCGGCCAACATGCATCATATTAATTTGTTTCTTTTAATATCATAAGAGTTCATCTATATATATACACACACATAATGTATATATATTGGTGTACTTGTGGGTGTGGCATGGTCCTCTGGTCAGTAGATGTTTTAATTAGTATCCTCCAATACTCCAAGACGCAATTTCACAAGATTTATATGAGTTTTACATACTTGAGTGTGTGAAGGCTCGGACGTGGAGAGAGAGAGAGAGTAGGGTTTTCTGTTACAGAAGGTGAGGTTAGGGAGGGAGGGGGGTTGAGGTGTACTTTAAATGAAGGGCAAAAGCGTCATTTAAGAATTTTGATAGATGAGGAAATGACTGCAGCTAGGTGTCACGGGCTTAGAGTTTCAGCACCACTCTAGCTGCTCCCGTGCGGCACCAAGATGTTGCTTCCACTCTCGCAAGTACTTGGTCAGCCTAATTCCCGTGCACACCTTAGCCAACACACTCCCCTCGTGCGCTTACTAGTGTTGTAGTTGCACTCGCCCTCTCCTCACTTGGCTTGCACACTCACACACACTAAGACACTTAAGTTGGCAAGGAAAGAACACTTCTATTACTTCAAAGAATGCTTTGTACAAGGCTAGCACTCAAGCTCTCTACAAGGCTCTCAAGACTCACTCTAGGACTTGTTCCCTACAAAATGAAGTCCTACCTCTATTTATAGGCATCCCCATCCCTAATGGACGGCTAGGATGCATTCTAACCAACGGTGGAGATTGATTATCTAGAATCTTCTCCCACCTTCTTCACACTTCCATACTTATCTACTAGTATCTACAACATTCTAGAATTCTCCATACTACTCCACACAACTCTAGAGAACTCTAGAACCTTCCACACACTTCTACACATTTCTACACATATCTAGAATCTTCCACATAACTCTAGACTATTCCGGAAGACTCTAGAAACTCCACTTGCCATGCAGTTGCCATGCAGCGTCCTCCTCAGCGTCTGCGTGTCGCCTGCGTGGCACAACCTCCATAGGCGGGGCGTGACATTCTCCCCCACCCATTTCCGTGACGCCCTCGTCACGGTTTCTTCAGCTGACCCAGCCTCTCGCAGGTCATCAGCACTTGCGCATATGTCCTTGGCCCAAACGTACGAGCGCCCTTCGGGAGATGTGAAGTCCTCACGAGCTCTATCGTGTTGACTGCCACCTCCGGACTCTCCTTCCTGCCCACGAGCGGCACCATGCATGCGGCCTTGCCTTCCTCGCCTCCAAGTATCATCAACGCACCAAGGCATGGTAGTGGCGCGGCGTTGTTCCTGTCCATGAACTCCAGCCCCAGCACCATGTCGTGGTCGTCCATCTCCGCAACTTGGAAGTCAGCCTTGCCCTTCCATCCTTGCATGCATAGCTCCACCTCCTTGCACACTCTACTCACGCGTGCCTCCTCGGAGTTGACGGCCTTGATCCAGCCCTCCGTCTTGCGCATCTCCAAGCCAAGTCGTTGCGCCTCCTCCGGGGTAATGAAGTTGTGTGTAGCACCCGTGTCTACCAACGCTTGCACGGCTTTGCCACCAACCTGCGCATCCACATAGCGCACCCCAGCTACCTTCTTTGCCTTGCCCTTCTTCTTGGTGTCATGCGCCATGCTACTCAGCATCTGCATAGCCCCCATGCACCTATCTTCATCGCTGCCCGCATCGTCCACCCTTCCCTTGCCCTTATCCTTCACAAGGGCGCTCATGGTCTTCTTGTTGGGGCAGTGTCGCAATATGTGCGGCCCTTCGCACAAGTAGCACTTCGGCTCCCACTTGCCCTTATCGCGGCGCTCCCCTTTGCCACTTGCCTTAGACCTCTCTCCATGGTCCTTGCCATTATCATGGCGTGGGCGTCTCTCCTCATCGCTGTGCTCATCATCACTAGACTTGGGCGAGCCCCGTTTCTTGAAGCGCCGGTCTCCCCCACCTTTGCCGTGGTCCCTCCTGGGAGACGTGGCCCTCTTGTCATCGCGCCTAAAGTCTTCGAGGCGCTCCGCTATAGCCATTGCGGATGCCAAGTCTCTAGGCTCCCTCCTCCTTAGCTCCGTGGCCACCCAAGACTGCAGCCTATCAATGAACAAGCACACACGTTGCCGCTCCGGCATCTCTGGGATCTCCAGCATCAAGTTGGAGTACTCCTTCACATACTCCCTTATGCTGCCCTTCTGCTTCAGGCGCCTTAGGTTGATCATGGCGAGGTCCTCAACGCACTCAGGGTAGAACTGCCTCTTGAGCTGCCTCTTGAACTCCTCCCATGTATCAACTGCTCTTGCGCCCCTACCGGTGAAGCGCTGTCTCCACCATAGAGCGGCAGTGTCCGTGAGGTACATAGTGCCTGTCTGCACCTTCTCCTCATCATCCTCGATCTCCATGCACTCGAAGTACCGCTCCATGTGCCAGAAGAAGTTGTCAATCTGGCGCGCATTCCTTGCCCCATCGTACTCCTTGGGCTCCGGCGCCTTCTTCTTCCTTGGCTTCACCACGACCTCGCGCGCCTAGGAGAACTCCTTCTTGCACTCGGCAATCTCCACGCGCAAGTCGTCTACCTGATCATACAAGTCCCTTTCCTTCTCTCGCGCCTTGTTGGCAATGCCGTCAATCAGCTCGTAGAGTTCTGCCATCTTTCTCTCGAGCCTGTTAAACTTGGTCTCCGTGTAGACCAAGTGCGTGGCAAGCTTCTCTTCCAAGCTCTGCTCCAAGACGTGGACTTGGTGGTCTCCTCCGCTAGCCATGTCTACTCCAACAAAGCTCCCTTGACGAACCTGGCTCTGATACCAACTGTCACGGGCTTAGAGTTTCAGCACCACTCTAGCTGCTCCCATGCGGCACCAAGATGTTGCTTCCACTCTCGCAAGTACTTGGTCAGCCTAATTCCCGTGCACATCTTAGCCAACACACTCCCCTCGTGCGCTTACTAGTGTTGTAGTTGCACTCGCCCTCTCCTCACTTGGCTTGCACACTCACACACACTAAGACACTTAAGTTGGCAAGGAAAGAACACTTCTATTACTTCAAAGAATGCTTTGTACAAGGCTAGCACTCAAGCTCTCTACAAGGCTCTCAAAACTCACTCTAGGACTTGTTCCCTACAAAATGAAGTCCTACCTCTATTTATAGGCATCCCCATCCCTAATGGACGGCTAGGATGCATTCTAACCAACGGTGGAGATTGATTATCTAGAATCTTCTCCCACCTTCTTCACACTTCCATACTTATCTACTAGTATCTACAACATTCTAGAATTCTTCATACTACTCCACACAACTCTAGAGAACTCTAGAACCTTCCACACACTTCTACACATTTCTACACATATCTAGAATCTTCCACATAACTCTAGACTATTCCGGAAGACTCTAGAAACTCCAGTTGCCATGCAGTTGCCATGCAGCGTCCTCCTCAGCGTCCGCGTGTCGCCTGCGTGGCACAACCTCCATAGGCGGAGCGTGACATAGGGCTTCTCTCTCTAGGGTTTGTGATTATAGATGAATACATGTATAAAGGGCACTAGCCGTAATTTAAAATAGTTGACCCCACGGTCACCAGCTTTTTGGACAGTTGCGCATTTCTGACGAGTAATGTCGTAATAATGCACCTCAGACATTTGATAAAACACACACACATGGCATTGCTCCTTTATGAAACAACAGAACAATTGAACAGTAGTACTAAACATTTGATACAAAAAGTAAATGTGATAACCTTATAAAAACACTTATCGTAACAAAAATCTTTTATCAGAAGAGTTGTGTTTTATATACTCCGATTAACGAGTCTGAAGTAGTAGTTAAAGAGACGTATATGAATTTATTGAGTGGTGCGGTGGTCAGATTGTGTATTTAGACTCTTCATTTTGTCTCTTATCGTTTTTCTTATTAGAACTCGTGGAGAAATAGGAATTGAAATATGCAAGGAAAGCCTTGTGACATTGAATGCCAAGAAATTAGGAGATGAGCAAAAACTAGAAAGTTAGAATCATGATCACAGTACCATTTTGTTTTGATGCATTGTTCAAGCTAGCTATATATTCTTACTGCTAACAGTTTGGTGCATATATAATTTGCCTTTTCCTTTGAATTGGGCAGAGCTTCTAAACATTCCGGTAACCTCTCCGGATTATGCCATTTTCACGAACTTTTCATCATCAATAACGCCAACGACTACACCGGTGACAGCAGATGACTCGAGTGGATCCAAGCATGGAGTACTGAACAATGCAGGAGTATTAGCCGCCATAGCTACTGTCATCGTCTTCCTCTGTGTATTCCCAGCTGGTGTTGCGTCTTCAACGCACGCACGCGGGTGAGGATTCAATGAGCATGCAGGCACTGTAAAGCCTGTGGTACTTCTTGATTTCCCTATTTTACCTTGTTATGTGGAGGAATTTAACTCTCTAAGTACTCCTAGTTTCTTTTCTGTTTTTTTTCTTTTTTTGTGTGTGTTTTCGGTAACTAGACGCTCAAGTTTTCACCACTTATTTTATTGTTCACTTTTTGTTCCGGCCAAAAAGGAACATACGATCTTTAACTTCTTGCTCAACGGAGTTTGAGTCTTAAAACTATGAGTCCATTTTCTAAATGAGACAATTTTTAATGATGATGGTCTCATCTCTTGGCCTCTCTCATGAACACATGATGATTGGTAGATTTTTGTTTAATTTAAATGATTTTATATTCATTTTAATTAATGATGGTGGTGAGCTACTATTTTTAGTGACTAATTTTTGTTCATGCATACAGAAGGTAACAAAATATAAAGGAAACCATAAGTATTAGAAATAAACAATAGAAAAGTGAAAAAATAATTATAATAAATTAGATGCTTAATTTATAATTGGAAAAATTACAATTGGGTAGGGTTAGGAATCTTACATCATAAAGTCGTCTATTATTAAAAAGGAAAATATTTAGGTCCTCACTAGTGAGGATGTATAACATTCTGACCATTGATGTGGATCAATAATAAATGAACATGTCATATTTAATTATCAAATCAAAGATAATAGGTAGATATTCACTTACCAAATTAGAAATAGTGATTTAATTATCATCTATTATTTGGTAATTAAAATAAGATGTATTCATTTATTATTAGTCCACTTCAATGTAAAGTATATTGTAGATTTTCACTAATGATGACCTAAATATTGTCCTTATTAAAAAGTCCACCTTCAAAACTACCTCCAACATGCCCAGTGTTGAGGAGCAGTTTTATAAGCAGAAAGCTAGACTTAATTGGCTCCAAAAGGGTGACCAAAACACTCAGTTCTTAATGAGGAGTTCCAACAGCAAATGTAATAGGAAGAAGATCTCCTATCTTACTTTGCTTAACGGGGATTCTACTGAATCTATCCCTGCTATCAAAGCAAAAACTCTCACTCATTTCATGAATATCCTTGGAAGCTGTCTTAATGTTACAAGGGAAGACTTATCCTACATCGGATCTAAATGGAAAAATAATTAGGTATATATGGGCAGAGTGTTAGCTCTACCTAATAACTTAGGCTTTTGAATCGGATCGTGAATCACTCACCCCTTGCAGTTAATATCAAATCAGACTTAATTCTCGATTTGGTGCCAAGACAAGCCAAGCGCCCGGCTCAGAAGGCGTCCGAGCAGGGCCCCTTATAAGGTTCGCACAAAAAAATTATCAGAGTTCTAAATTTTTATTAAAATGAGACAATAAACACAAAATATATTAATCTTGAACACACACAAAACAAAACCCTCTAATATATCTTTTTCAATAGATATTATAGTCAATCTATTCAATCTCTTATGACATCGTCACTGTAGGTAAGATTTGACCAACTTCAACTTTGAAAATTTTCTCTCTTATAATTAAGATAGTCAATAATACTCTATATGCAATCCAATCATTTGGAAAATAGCAACTTTAACATTTTTTATAAAATTAAATACTTCAATTGTCTTTTTTGTTCGTCTTGGTATAGTTTCTCTTAAGATTTGTAATTTTGAAAATAATTTTGTCCCATCAATATTAGAAATCGTGTCATATTTTAGGAGATCTTACAAGGTTATTTTGAAAAATGTGACAATTGATTGTACTCATGAGTTAAAATTTTAGTTATTTGGACTGAGCTTAACAGATACTGTCATACATGCACATGAGTTCAAAAATAATATGATAATAAAATAAACGTCAAAATTTAAGTATAAAAAATTCTCTTTTTATTTTTTTCTTTTGAAAGGAGAGGATAGAAACAAATTATTGTTGCCATACACACTATTGAAACACGGACCGGTTACCCAAGCAATCTAAGCCCACTACAAAACATGGGTCATGGATCAACCTAAATTACTCAATTGACCCAATCCACTTTAATGGGCTAATTTTAAATTACTAACTAACCAGGCCCACTTATAAATTAGGTTAGTAAAATAAAATACGGAATAATAATTATTCTTAATATATATATATATATATATATTTGAGTTATCCAAATTATAATTGTGATAATTATACAAAGTGACTCAAAATTGCTATCTTGTCCCTTCATGATGTCTATAAATAGAAGTAAAGTGGAAAAGGAAAAGGAGGTCAGGAGAAGATTAAAACTTTGCCGAATTCTACACCTAGGGGTGGCAAAAATCCCCATCCTGGTGGGGAACTGCCCCGCCCCCGCCTCATTTAAAGCGGGTTTGGAAAACCGTTTATTTAAATGGGGTGGAGATGGGGGTTAAAAAAAAAAAGGAGGGGCGATTTTGGGGCGGTTGCGGGGACTCAGATCCCTGCCCCGCATCTACCTCGAAACCGGGCCCGATTAATATATTAAATTACTGGTATACCCTTCCATGTTAATATATTTACAAAATTAACCTTCACTATATATATATATTGAAACCCTAGATTTCACTTTCAGTTTTAGCCTTCACTTTCAAACGCTATATTCTGATAGTGGCTGCCGGCACTGATAGATCTGAGCATCGATTTTTTACAAAATCCCAGTATCTGTGATTTCTTTAGTGGTCGAAGGTTATCCCAAAGGGTATTCCTCTAAAATCCCCTCAGATTTGCTACTCTTTTTAGGTCTTGGCTTCATAGATTGGTAATTTTTATACATACATTTTCTGTCTCTCTCCTTTTTTGGTCTGTTTCTGTAATAAAGATTGAACTCACCTACATGGATTTGATGGGTTTGATTCAGTGTTTTCCACCTTTGTCTGGAGGATTTAAAGAGATACTTGGGTTAGGGTTAGATATTGTCTTCATCTAGCTGTATACCGTTCTCTCTCTATACACAGAGATCCAATAGGCAATAATTCTATATTTTTTGTTTTGGTTTTTTTTTTTTTTTAATATGTTTGCTTCTTCTTCTTGATATCTCTATCTAAAATACAGAACATTCATTTTTTTCCTGATAAGTTGGGGTTTTTAAATATTGTTTCCGTTTTATGAATCTATTTCTATTTTCTTTCTCAATCTATGACAACTTAGGGGTTTCTTTTATTTATTTATTTTATGGCTGATTTTATTGTGGGATTGATACGACAATGATGTGGTTCTGCAGATTTATGTGGTGCTGCAGATTGATACGACGATGATTTGAATCTATTTTCATTTTCTTTCTCATATTTATGTGGTTCTACAGAACTTGTGTAGAATCAAAAAATCAAAAAATTTGAAAATTTTAAATTTAACCGGTTATGGGGCGGGGGCGGGGGCGGTTATGGGGATTAGAAACAAAAATTTAAACGATTATGAGGTGGTTTTGGGGGTACCAAAATTAAACGGGGGCGGGGATGGGGATGGGGAATGGAAAACCCGCCTCAAACTGCCCCATTGCCATCCCTATCTACACCCATTCACAGCTTTGAAGACTCAACACTATGAAATATGATACAAAAATACAAGAGAAATATGATACAAAAATACAAGAGAAATATGATACCAGAGGGTTAAACGAGAAAAAGAAAATACAAGAAAAAAAGAGAAAAATAAAAAATACAAGAGAAATATGATATAGGAGGGTTCGATCGGGAAAAAAAAAAAAAAAAATGCAAGAGAAATATGATACCAGAGGGTTCGATCGAGAAAAAGAAAAAAGAGAAAAAGAAATACCAAGAGAAATATGATACCAAGGGTTCGATAGAGAAAAAGAAAATACAAAGATCGAGCATCTCTTTCTATTCACTCAGTCACTTGGTTGCTCGATCTTCCTTTATCGTCGCTTCACTAGATCTCTTTCTCCTTTTGCTTCACTCTTGATTCTTGAAATAAGTCTCCAGATCTATTGACAGTATAATCGGTGCGTAATGTACTAATGGAGTAATGGGTATGAGATATTATTTGAGAGATGCTAATATGTTGCCTAATACATTATATGATTGTGTATCTATTGATCTAACGGAAAATCCAATGGTATATAATTAATACACATATAAATATAATGTTAATATAAATATATTGTTATTATATATATAAATTTAATTCGGATCAGATTATTATCGGATTGGATTAGTAAAATTCATATCTGATTTGTTAAGCTAACGGATAATCGGATTTGGATCATAAATGGGTTATTGAATTTTTTGCTCAATCCATACCTGGATAATCGGATCAAAATCCGATCCATTGATAGGTCTATGCATCTTATCTTCACTAGTCAAGGATTGTTTTGGCATTATATTTTTTTAATTAGTTTACTTTTGACTTTTTAATGATTAATTAACAAAAAGGGTGCTAGGACGAAGTTAACCAAAACTGAGGGGAGGTTTAAAATTTTTTTTTTTTTTTTTTCACTAATTTAATCTGTGAGCAATAAAGGCAAACTCGAAGGGAGTGTCAAAGCATTTAACCCAATAAAATAATATTTTTGTGAATTCAATAAAGTTTCCCAAAAGTGGCTTTGGTTTTTTTTTTTTTTGTTTTTTCGAATTTATTGCTTTGGGTCTTAAAAACAATTTAACGGACTCTGGGCCCTTTTTTTATGTCTACCGAGTCAATCAAGGGTTAAATAATTTCATGCTTGTTTATCAATATTTTTAGGTTTTGAAAGATCATAAAAATTGGAGCTTATAACCTCTCAAGTTTTATTTTTGGTACGGGTAAATTTGAAAATATGTACTTTTGATGAATTCGATTAAATGAAGAAATACAATAATTTTGAGGGGAGGAACAATCATTTATGTAGTCACACCAACACATTTATTTGTTTAACCAAACATGGTTTTCTAAAATAAATACTCCCCTCATTTCTAAAATTTTTGTACATTTTTCTATTTTGGGATATTCTAAAATACATGTCCCATTCCTTAACAAGGACAAATATAAAAATTGAATATTATCAATATAATAAAAAAAAAAATTTTAAAATCACTAATTATAAAAGTTTATGAAATGCTACTAATCAAACCTCTCAAACCATAATTAGGCTAGCAAGATAAGATATAACCAACAAATTTGTAGCGAAGAAGGAATCTTGAAAAAATAAAAATAAAAATTTTGAACCACCCCTTGTTTTAATTTTTTTTTTTTAGAACGATTTTTTATTTTCTGACAAATAAAAAATAAAAAATTATACAAAAATCTGCTAGATTGACAATTTTTAAGAATTTTTTTTTCTTCAGGAAATTCAGTTAAAAAATTAATTTTTAGAAATTTAATTTTTATAAGTCTATAAAAATAATTTCATGTTTTCTGAGCTTTTAAAAATATTTTCCTTTGTTTTTAAATTTATATATTATATCATATTTGTACACACGCCAAATTTTAAATATATATATATATAGTATATAATATACACACCAAAAAAATTTGGGCTGGTTTGGGCCAACGGATTGAGCGAATCCGAACCCAACACCAAATGCTTAGGGTAGTCTACGAACTCGGACGTTAATATGTGTGTATAAAAATAGATTGTATCCAGCGAACCCTCCTTTCTAGCCCTATTGACCACACTCGGCGAAAAATCTCTCCTCCACATCGAAGCAAATCTCTCTCTCTCTATAGCTCCTCTCTTTCTCTCTCTAGCTTAGCTATGTCTCAGGTAAATCATATTCATAATCGGTTGTTCGTTAATTTGTTATTGTGTTTTTGAATATGTTTGTTTACAGTTCGGGTTTTGCTTCTCAATTTATTGTGATTTCGATCTCTGGTGTTTTCTGTATTAAATCGACTTAGGGTTTTATTAGGTATATTTTTTAGTTTGGTTTGATTTTATCGCCGATGTTCTGATTGCGATCGATGCGACAGTTTTAGGGTTTTGTATTTTTTGATTTACGTGATTTGATTCGCTGATTTATTGGTGTTCAGGTGGACAACAGGAATTCTTCGGCATCCAAGCGTGCAAGGACTGATGGTATTCCTTTCTTTTTCCGTTTACTCACCGATTCATCAATTGTTTATGTCTATATATATATATATATATGAATGAATTTGTACCTACCTATGTAGGTATATATATATCTATATCTCTCTTAATAAATTTTAAGCTATAGCCACGTTATGGATGAGGGTGTTGGTTGAATCAAATTTAAAGTTAAAAACTGTGAAATCTTATCCACTCTTCTCTTGATGTGGGTTGTGGTTTATATTGGTGAAATGCCTGTAACTGTTTTTTGCTTCATCTATTCATGTGCCATATGTTTTTTTAATCCTTTAGGTTGATTTTACTTCTCCACCATAAATGTGCTGACTTTTTCATCAGTCTATGTGACCCAATTGCCATGTCTTCATCTTCACCGGAAGTTACATCTCTGTGAATGTGTAAATAATTAGAACATTATTTTCGTCTTGGTTTGTTTTGTTAATTCATGGTTTTCATTGGATTCGAGAATGTTCTCATGGAAGTGGATTAATTGGATGTTCTCTTTGACGTCAACTTAAAGAGTGGACCCATATTCATATTCATTGCACGCATGTGACAATATTTTCATAATTCCATGTCTATTTGTTTTGTTTTTGTCATTTGGTGGTGTTTTGAAATTGGCTTCAGGAACCTGTGTATTTCTTCCTCATTTTTCTTTTGTAATCATGCTTGTTATGGGTTCTGTGTCTCTTTTTCTTTAATTCATTTATTTCATTAATCTCTTTTTGTTTTTGTAGGGGGGCGTAGGGAAGATGACTGGACTTGTCCAAGCTGCGGCAATGTCAATTTTTCATTTAGAACAACTTGCAATATGCGCAACTGTACTCAGCCTAGGCCTGCTGATCATAACTTAGTAAGACATGAACACTTAATAGTTTTTTTTTCTTCCCCTCCCTAACCCTTGGGAAATGAATAGGATGTCAAAGTTTGTTGGCAAAATTTACATTTAGGACTCAATTTGCGACCAGTAACTAATTTTGTATGATTTATTCCTGATTAGATTCATTTTCTAATGCACATATTTATCAAGAACTGTTCTTTACTAGCGTGTCAATGTTCTGTTTCAGTATTTTTATAGGATTTTGCAGTTCTCTTTTTTTATACCTTCAATGCAACTGTCATATATGAATTGCCTGTATCAACATTGCTGTGAATTATGTCATTATCACTTCAACCTATCATTTTGTTATATTCATTATTCTTTCTTTTTTTTTCATAAATTATTTTCATTATCTTTAAAGCTTGGTTCCATCAAGCACCCCAGTGACGTTTTTATCATGTTCGTATAATAATCTTCATCTCATCTCCACTTTTTTGTATGCTGGTTAAAATATAATAGTCACGAATCTTATTTGTTTCCCAATAATTTAGCCCTGACTCTGAGTGTTAAACATATGGATTACTGATGTAAATTTCTGATTGTAATGTCTAATTTCACTTTTATTTTTTTCTTATACTATTTAAAGTAGTTCTTGAACTTACTGAAATATTCCAATAAAAAATTTCCCTTCTTTTCAGAAATCTGCTGCCAAACCTGTGCAAGCTCCACAGGGCTACTCATCCTCGGTGCCCTATGTAGGCTCCGGTGGACCACCCTCTTCAATGTACATGGGTGTTCCGCCTTATGGTTCTTCTCTTTTCAATGGATCAGCGATGCCTCCTTATGATGTTCCATTTTCTGGGGGTTCTGCATATCATTATAATTATGGCAGTCGCCTCTCTGGAGGCAGCCCATACCGATCCCTGCATTTATCTGGCCCACCACCTTATTCGAGTGGATCTATGATGGGAAATGGTATTTACTCTTTTCTGTATTCTTCTGCCCTATCTCTTATTATATTTATTATATTATTATTATTTTGATGTTAATGATTTCAGTGCCTTGTGTTACTATTTGTTTTTCTGATAGAAGTGTTTGTGCCTCCTTGCTTGTTATCTCCGTTCTATTATCCTATACTGATGCCCTTTTTGGTTGTTTTTTATATTTGTTTTTTAATTTTACTTGGTATTTATTGTAAGAAAACCCAGTAGAAAAAGATAGATGAAAAGAGATCAGATTTTAAGAAAATATATGATGAACTTTTCCACAATATCAGTCGGTTCCCATCGACTGACCAAATACCCATAATCCTCCTTTAGATTGGATCTTATTTAATAGCCATACCATTTACTTGATTTCACATGTGGAGCACCTGCACTCTTTTGTATTGCAATTATGAAGATTTATTTTCCCCCCTTTTTCCAGGTGGGATGTATGGTATGCCTCCCTTGATGGACCGCTATGGCTTGAGCTTGCCCATGACTCATGCCAACATGGTATGTACTAATCTTTACCCTTTATATTTAAGCTTTGTTTTTTCAGAATTATATTATCAATGCTTCATATTACCATGGTCTTTGTAGTACTTAATTGCCTCCTGAAGTGATGTGTCTTTTAAATGAGCTAGTTAGCTACCATTTAACTTTTCAAGATTTATGTGTTATATAAGCAACTATTTGTAACCATGTGTTAAACTTTCCATTGAAAAAGCTAAGAAATTAACAAACTAAGAATGCAGAATAAAAATAAAAGCAATATTATACAAATGCAGATAAGTACTGATATTATATGATAATCAATGAAAAGGTTAGGGCGAACTCGCTACATTATATTTTTTTTAATCATATAACAAATCTAAGTGTGTTAAAAGGTTGTTAACTTATCAAAAAAAAAGTGTGTTAAAATCAATGAAAAGGTTAGGGCGAACTCGCTACATTATATTTTTTTTAATCATATAACAAATCTAAGTGTGTTAAAAGGTTGTTAACTTATCAAAAAAAAAGTGTGTTAAAAGGTTGTTAACATGTAGCCTTGTAATCTTACATTCTTCTATCTTGTTACTGCAAAATGTGGTACATCATTCCTCCCCCAATCAAAAGCCTTCTCCTTTATTTTCTAAATGAAGCGCTGAAAGCTCTTACCTTGATGTATTATTTCCTTGTCTTAGATATGAGGTAGAATTCATGATTAAAATTTTTGTGCAGGGCCCAAGACCGGGTTTTTTCCCGGAAGATAAGTCTCAAAAGAAAGGCGCAGGTTTGTGACACTTGGGCTTCTTTTAATTTTGATTTCATTATTGGGCATTACAAGAACTTGTTTGTGTACTAACTTATTCTGTTATCTTCTGATACACGGCTAGACGACTGGACATGTCCTAAATGTGGAAATGTCAACTTTTCATTTAGAACAGTTTGTAACATGAGGAAGTGCAACACACCAAAGCCTGGGTCTCAGGTTTGAGGCATTCTCTTATTGTACTTAAGTTTATATTCAGTGTGTTGGATGTGTTCTTAAATACGTTGATTTTGACACTCTTTCTTTCTTCTATGATATTCCACATTAATTTATATTCATAGTATCATCATGCTATAATTTTGTTCTTCAAATTGACTAATTAGTATTTTTAGTTTGCGGATGGTGAATTTACGCTGTGTTTAGAATGGGAGGATTTCACCGGAATTGGATTTGAAATAGGATTTCAGCTGTTTGGAATGTGTGGGGTTTTAAAAGAATTGGGATTTGACGGGATTTCATGGAAATATAATAACGTAAACAAATCCGTGGAAATATGAACTTTGAAGTAAATTGACAGGATGATAACTAACTACTCTCACATCTCATCCTAAAAGTGTACAAAATTTACTTCTTTTCGAATACCTTTTTACAAATCCCATTAAATTCCAAGCGAAAAATAGAATTCCATATTATTTACAATCCAGTTCCTCTTCCAATTTTAATTTCAAATCCCAGAAGTATTTGGTTCCAAACAAAGCAAGAATTCTATACATTGATTGATCAACCTATTAGTTTTGAAATGTGATCTTTCTTTAACATGTGTTATAAAGTTGAATTGTCTTTTTAATCTATTCTCTTGAAATTGCAGGCTGCAAAAGCTGAGAAAAGTTCGAGTAAGTCCTTTATAACCTGCAAATGTTATTGCTCGTATTTTTTGTGGGATACTTACATACCTCTCGTCTTTCAGAACAAAAGATGCCAGAGGGAAGCTGGAAGTGTGAAAAATGCAACAACATAAACTATCCTTTCAGGACCAAGTGTAACAGACAGAATTGCGGGGCTGATAAACCATCTGATTCGCAGAAGTCCTCTCCAGAACAAGCAGAAGAAAGTGATCAGGTCTGTTATGTCTGTATATCTTGTCTACTTTGTATGCCCGTTTGTTTCCTGAAATTGTCATTATGTCTGCCAACGAGCTATGTACATGTTCCAAATCTAAAAAGCATCCAAGTTCATAATGTATCTCAATTAAGTAATCTTTTGTGGAAACTACTTTTCTTACGCTTTTTCCCTTTACTACATCTTGCAGTGGTTAACTTTACATTTTCTATTTATGTTATTTCTACCTTTGCAAATATTAATTCGCAATTGTCTACTGTTCCAGTGAGTACTAGAACATGTTTGAGGGTTGAGAAGGTCCAGAGTTGTCGTCCAGCATTGCTCAGTATGGGTGTCTGAAAGTCAGTCATGTCTTCGTGTTGCAGCAATTGTCAAGTTACTCTGTCTTCTCATATTCCGTGTCAAGTTGTTGTATTAACTGTGATGGTATGTGGTCTTTATGGATTCTCTATTCAGATGCATCGCGTGTCTGCCAGCTTTGTTTGGCAAGAATTAAGGTTAGTTCTGGTTATTTTGAGATAGGATTTTGTACTTCTGGAACGTAATTTGTTTTAGTGGGTATTTTTACGTGCATTTGAGCTATAATGGTTGGCATAAAGGTGTACTGAAGCCTTATTTTTCTAAGTTTCGGTTCTTCGGTTCATTTTGAGTTGTCTTCATGCAGTCAGGGTATTCCTTTTCAAAGGATGCTTGTGAGGTTCATGAATTTTAAGCAGTCCCGATTTTAAATAGGTCTATTAATTAAGAAATTGTGGAGAATTGAAAATTGTGGTCAGTAACATTAAAAGATGATTCAAGTACCAACAAGCTAGTGGCCTAAGGGTACCAAGTTCCTACTTCTCAAAGAGAGGTTAGGGGTTCAAGCCTCAGTGGAGGCATGTGTGTGTGAGTACCAACTAAAAATAAAAAAAAAAAAAAAAAGATGATTCAAGTAACCTCTTCCCTTTAGACGACCCGATGATGTGGTATTGTAATGTTAATGTTTTTGTGACATAAAATTGATAGATTAGAGGGTGTTTGTGCTTGCCAAACTCTAGTTTAGTCTCTTCTGAACTTGAAAGGCAAGTTTGTTTCCGGTTTGGTGCTATGGTTTTGGAAAATTTTGTTATTGTTATGTCTTTTTGTGTTAGAATGGTGAGTTTTTGATAAACATATGCATCTGTAGTGTATCCAAAAACAAAGAAATGTGATGTGGTGGTGGTACTTGGACATATATCCTAGCTTGTTGGCTGGAGTTCTTGTCCTATGCCCCCCTGTAATTTTCTGGTAATTTGGATGGACATGGGTAAATGGCTAGCCGCTATTATATTCTTTTGGCCCTATAAATATATGTCTTATATATATATTAAAATACCATCCGTGATGTATATCCAGTTGGTAGATTGTGATTTCATTAGTCCCTCTTATCAATCAACTTCGTTCAATGTGATCATTCAAATTAAAAGTGCATGGATCAAATGGTCAAGCTTTTAAAATCATTAACTTCATTCAATGTGATAATTCAAATTAGAAGTGTATGGATCAAATGGTCAAAGTTTTAAAATCATGTGAAATCGGTTTACACTAATCCAATGAACTTTTTAATCAATGTGTTGCGTAAGCCTTCTCAGGTTTGGTTGTTGGGGGAGTGGGGAGGGAGAGAGAAAGGAAACTTCACTTCTTTAAGTTTTACCCGTGGAATAGAGGAGAGAGAGTACTTAAATACATTAAATATCAATTTTAACATTTTCATTTATATAATGAAAGGTGGTAAGGAATATAAATTAAATTATGCCATGATTTTTTAGAGCATGGCATAGGTTTATTAATTTTTTTATTATTATTATTAATTTTTTTTGTGGCTATAAAGGGGGATTGTAGTGGGGTCTTTTCCACGAGTAAATGTCGCATCCAACCACCAAATCATTTTCACTTGCCAAAAAAAAAAAAATTAAAGTATAACGGTTTATTAGAGAGATTTTTGTTTGAAACAAAATCTATCGAGTTTGGTTTGATAATTGACACTTGGATTTGGATCCTCTGCAATGATTTCTCTCATGAATCTTTTTTTTTTTTTTTTTGGAGATAGTGGGTAATTGCACAAGCAATGACATAAACTTGATACTTCTAATAATTTAGGGCCCAATCACTAATGAGACAATTGTGAGAAGTCTGCAGCACCTTTCAAGTTCCATGCTGGACCCTCCTACCTAAACCTGGCACCCCTCTTGTGCCCGTTCTTGGTGCTACCGACCAAATACCGTTGGATGTAATATGAGGGGAATAATTTACCACTATACTATATTATTCCATTTTTTTAACGAGGCCGTATTTTTAGACATCCCAAAAATAGAAAGATGAATAAGAATTTTAAAACGAAGAGTATAAAATAATACTAATAGGAAACAGGATTCCATAATATCCAATTTGCAATATGGATCAATTGAAACCATAATTGTCAAGCAGATGCGTAGAAGATGAAAAGTAATATAATTTAAGTAGTATTTTCTCACCTTTCAAAATGTGGTCAAGAGTTCCAAGTTCCCATATAACAAAAAAACGGGCGTAAAAATATATTTAAAAAACTGAAGTTGGAAGCTTTTAAATTCCAAGTAACTAACTCGGACAACACTGCTAATTGCATAACCATCCGTGCACCACATTCCTTCAAAACAAGAAAAGCCACTAAATTGAAGAAGCAGAAAAAGCAATTTACGATTGATGAGTCGATTTTGAACACACTTGGGCATACCCAACATGCTCCTCTGAAGTATTCAATGATTTATGAGACCATCAAAATCCACATTTTCCAAATTATATGCATGCTAGAGTAGGGCAACATTTTCGAGTAGTGAATATTACTAAAAAAAAAAAAAAAACCGAAGTTCTAACTTCTGGATATCAACAAATATGTTCAAATGCACTTTTAAATCCTTTTCGTTCGCACCAACTGGTAACCAAACTGAAAAACTACGTAGATGCCATACATTCTAAACCAAAGCAATGTTGAATGCAACATGTTCAAATTCCAACACATCGGCAGCTTTGGTTTACAAAGAGAGAACAATACAGATCGGGTGGGACTATACTATCAAGTATCGACTGCTGCGTAGCATTTCTTCAATAGAAATCAACCAGATATCAAGTTTGAATCCTGAGATCGGAAAACTATGCCTGAAGTTGAACGGTATTGAAAGATTCAGCCAAAATATAGCATAATACCCATATATATATAGACAAAAAACTACTACTCATCAGATTTTTGCTAATAAAGACTCGGTGGGTAATGCTAGCGAACAAGCAAACTTTTGATTCACTGTTCTGTCAGCCAAAAGGCATACCATGAGCCTTCAGTATCAACAACAAAATTTCTTCGAACTCATAACACCTATAGACAGTTCTAAAAAGTTTAGTTATGCCCAGTTCAAAAGTACTTAAAACAGAATTTACTCACTTAACATCGACTTGATTGGGCTGAGCTGATGGATTCCAGTAGTCAGTTCAATCCATTGGAGTAAAAGCCAGTCAAATATGGCGCTTTGAACATCGGGATTCCTTCAAAGTTATTACCTCTGTTAGTGATTGCGGTCGAACCATTCACCTGGGAATCAGTTGACTGTTGTCCAGTTTGCCAGAATCCTGATGAAGCAAGTGGCAAGCCTTGGGGCACTGCATGCATCACAGGTTGAGGCATGCTGCTATGATCTACATGAACGGGGTGATTAAATGTAATGGATTCTGGCTGTGAACCCCATGAATTAGTTGACAGAAGAGAGAGAGCACGGGGAATATCCGGTGCTTCATCCAAGCTGGAAGAGAACATAGATTCCTTCAAACCTGCAAAACATTTTCACCCAGCAAGTGAGGGATCTCGCTTCAGTAATTTGTTTCACTTTACGCTATAATGCCCTAAAAATCAAAATGTGAGGGGCTAGCACATTAATACCCTATAGCCACTAAAAGGTAAACTGAGAATTAGGTTGAAAATCTTGAATATCCAAAAAACTGTTGAAGTTTGATTGTCCCTTACTTCACCTCAGGTTATACGTCTCATGAAAAGAAACTCATTCTAACTCAATTTAAATTATTAAAGCCTTATCTGCTATTTGATATCATTAATGTGAATTCTATTCTGCCAATCTGCTATTTTTAATGTAAAAATTCAGTTAAACCATACTATGATAAGCTTATTATTTAACCCAAGTTAATTTCATGCTTTTTCCAGTGTCTTACCCTCAATGTGAACCACCATTATTAGTATTCACTTTCCATTTCTTTTTTTTCTCTTTTTATTTTTTTTTTACCTATAATTCAAGTATTCTAACTTCCATCCTTGAAGGTAGGGATGCAAAATCTCGCTCAATGAATATCCGTGGAATTGCTAATCTTATTATAGAAAATCCCAAATTTCACCAAAGGCAAAACCTATTTGGACATGATGTTTGGAATTACGACTTTCAACTGAAAATAAGTTCAAACATTTACAAGAATGCATGAGCATTATGGCCAACACTTCTTCCTTTTTTAAAAGTACTTAAAATGGGAGATAAGTAACCTAATGTGATACTACTTGGTACACTAGAAGTTCACTTTAACTACAAGGATGATCAGAAGTATGGTATGCATTTCCAAGAGGGGATCAGCTAAAATAAAATTTCAAAGTTGGTCCAAAACAAGGTCAAAAGTTTTAATTGAGAATGAGTACGCCCATACATATTTTATTGCCGGCTCTTGGAAGTCTTCCCAACCAACGCACATAAAACCACAGGACAATCTTAAGTTAAGTGAGGAAAGAGTAAAATGCAGTGCAGTTACATTTTCAGTATTATACAAATAACAAAGAATTGGGATTCCAACTTTTGAACATTTGCAACTCAACAGCATTGAAGACAAAAGAATAAACCCTTTTTTAAGGTGGGCAACATGAATTCCACCTCCACTATTTTCAATTGACTACCGTGCTTTCAAGTCTTCTTAATCAATCCCTATTTAATTAGACAATTCCGCATAGTCCTTCAGACTGTTTTAACTCTCAGTACTCAAATTCTCACACGTGTCTGCATATGTCTCCCTTAGACTTGCCTAAACCAATTAACCAACATGGTAACATAATTTATCACCAGAAAATTCATTGTATTTACCCCCAACTACTAACACCAACGACTGCTTCTTCCTACATGTTATATGTTGAGATAAATCAACTTAGTTACTTCCTTTTAGTTCATTTCACTGTAAATTTCTCCTTTGGCTTGGAGGCCAGCCTCTTCATCAGATCTGCTTACCGTCAAAGTAGAAAGAATTCGTAACACAAACTACTCAAGTAATTTTCATTAAACTTGGTGGTCTACATCCCTTTTTACGGGCTCAATTTGTCCGAAACTAAAGGAATACAATCCACAGTAGATTTAGAATCTCACTCAGATATTCCTTCAAAAAGCTCTCTTTTGAAAGGAAAAAAAATCCAGTTGAAAATAAAATAAAAAATATAACCTCCAAGCATTAAGGATATTCCTAGCTTCTCAAAATCTATTAAACAATCTAATATATCTAAAGACCAACTTTGTGATGCATCATACTAAAACTTCTAAATCATTTTGGGTTAGTTAAAGCCACCTCACTAATCACTTTATTCATGTGAACACTGTCACACTTCCATATGTTTGCTCAAAATTCCTATACATGTTGATGCCATAAGAATATTGAGGAACACAAAATTCCTATACATGTTCCTATACATGTTGATGTCATAAAAATTCCTATACATGTTGATGTCGTAAGAATATTGAGGAACACAAATTGTCCACGTACCCCCACTCCCTTTTTTATATTCTCCGATCACTAGAGCCAGATATATTCACTCATTCGAAAGAATTATGGAAGACCTCCAAGGACTCTCACGTTGCTATTTCGATATTTTTTAAATTCCTTTCATCCCCAGTTCCCAGCAAACTGGTTAACAAAAAGAGCAACACTTAATTTATTGACCTCTCATCTATTAATCATTGTCTATCAAGATTAATTATTGCAACTACCATATTATTCCCTTTTATTGTCCAGATTGCTATCTAAATTGTCCTATAGTTGCCATTTTTCATCAACTATTCCTCTTTCCCTTCCCCTTACAAATGATCATGGTAGTAAATTAATGAGCCATATTATTAAACTTTGGGAGAGGGTGATTGAGCAATGACTAAGACTTGAAACAACGGAAAATCAATTTGAATTTATATCTGAAGTTCAACAATTGAAGCTATCTACTTATCAAGGAGACTGAAAAGATGCAAGAGAAGAAGAAAGATCTGCCTTTTTTTCCAGAATGAAGGAAGTCAAATAGGGTCCTTAGAGATGTACATGGAGACTAATACAAAAGAAATGAGTAACAAAGACATATGCTGACATGATAACGGATATTTATGATCGAGATGGATCAATATCACCACATGTAGGAGATACAAGTGAATTTCAATCGTTATAGGGCATACATCAGGGAAGAATATTACACCACCAGTGTTCTTTCTTAATTGTGGTTGAACTAAACAACCACAATTAGGATAAGATTCAACAATTTATATTATTTTTTGATGATATTGTTTTATTTGATGAAACTAGAGTAGGGATAATGCTAGATTGGAAGTTCGAAGGAAGCTATAGAGTTGAAAATGGTTTAAGATAAATATGAATAAATGGAATGTAATTATAGCCGCAAAACTAAGTAAGAATGGGGATGTATTGGCTGTCAAAGTTCAAGATATACCAAAAGAATGAACATCTTTGTTATATGAACTCAATTATTCACTAGGAAGGATAGATCTAAAATAATTTTATTACATAGCATTAAAGTAGAATGGATTAAATGAAAGAGTGCTTTCTGGTTTATTCTGTGATCCCATATAAAATGGCTATTAGACCAGTAATACTAGTAAATCCTATAAAATAACTATTAGAGCATTTTATAAAATATGTTTCTTAAATGCCCAACATTCTGCCTAATACTGAAAATTACTCAAGTCAATCCAGTAAAAGCTTGAGGACCTTTGAGGTCAGATATAATTCTTTTCCACCATTCAGATCAATTAGGAGGATGGCCTCAGTTCAATCACAGGAAATAATGTCTTTTCACCAAATCTATCAATGCTCTTCTTGGCCTTTCTCGTGTTCTTGTAGAATGTTCAACTTGAATCAAGTAACTCATTGATCACACATGGCCAAACCATCTGAGAGGGTTTTATTCATCTTGTCCCCAACCAAACACTCATTTTAGCTACAATAATTTGTTAACTATGTTACTCATCAAAAAAATAATAATTTATTAACTACGTTTCTTGACTGGCCAACATTATATATTACAAAGCATAGTTAAACTTGTAGCTGTTTCCATGAACTTTTCATCTTCCATAATAAGTATTCCCCAATCACACAGCAGTCCAACAAATGCTGAATGCCAATGGTGGTCATTGGAGGTAGCCTTGTCAAAAGCAAGGGTTGTGACAAATATGGCAATGATGCCGGTATAGCAGCAATGAATCACTTACATAGGTAAATGGCATTTCATATACAGGATCTGCTTATGCATGTTGTATCATGAACTCTGAAATTAATGCTACAGGCCCAACATGCCCAAAATAGTATTAAATCCTCTAGCTTTACACCTAAGTTTAATCACACAAGAGTTTCAATTCTTTACGCTGTAGGATCTGTTTATTTGTGGACTCAAAACTTCTAATTTTTAAAACACTAGGCATATAAACTTTCAAGAAAATTAATTATGCAAAGAAGAATACTCGGACACTTCCCGGATACGCGGATACAGCTCAGACCCGTGTCGGATACGGCTAGAAGTATCCTGAATGGTGAATATTTTATTTTCTAGTCGGATACGGCCGGGACACGGCATGGACACAGCAAGGATACGTTTTGGACACTTCCGGGATATGGCGGGGTGATTTTGTAATTAGTTTTTAAAAAATATATAATTGAATGCAATTTAATAAATTATGGGTTAATTAAAAATAATTTAACATTTTAGAAAATAAAAATAACAAACATCTAGCTCAAAATTCCAAATTATTGACCTATTTATGACTATATAGATAAAATGGCAAAAAATACTTTGTTATATATTATATATAATGATATATATTATATTATTATTTTTTGACGTATCCATGCCGTACCAATGTCATTTTTTTTAAAGATTTGCCACACCGCCATGTCCGTATCGTGTGTCATACCCGTATCTCGCATCTGTGCTTCCTTGGTTTTCAGATATTGCAAGTCAAATAGAATTTCCACTTAGCATATCTTTACGTACACAAGGTTATTCCCTGGCTGTAACTATAGCAGAATCCTTTTTGTCGCAATAGTGGAACTTTTTTGGCAACTTGTTTTAGGTTTTTCTTTTATCTTATGAAATGTTATGGTAGCCAATTTTTACTTCTTGAATTTAGTAGCTTGTACTTTGTCTTTGAGCTCTAAAAATTCTGGCAAATCTTTAGATATATTATTCACTCTAGTTCACTATTAAATTCCATTAACTTATGGAGAAACATATATGGTAACAGACTGCAACCCCATCCATTTGTTCATCTAATTTAAAAAAAAAAAAAAATTCAACAAACGTGGTCCTATAAATATCACAATGAAAAAGATAAAAGGCTGAATGACCAACGGGCCAGTGGCCTAGCGGTATCAGCCTCTTACTTCCCAAAGGAAGGTCACGGGTTCAAGTCTCAGAAGAGACGTGTGTGTGAGTACCAACTAAGAAAAAAATAAAATAAAAGGCCGAATGCCAACTCTATATAAATCAAAGTAATGAAAGATAACGGGACAACGACGGCAGAACGTCAATGATCATAGCAGACTTGTTGCCAAAAGTAAGGGTGGTGATACTGAGGCAGTGATAACCACAAGCACCAGCTGGTGAAAAAACAGTGATTTGGCAGCAATAATTTCCTACAAGATGATAAATGCATTTTATATCCAGATATTGCAATTTGAATAAATTTATAATTTACACAAATTTAAGCATGAAGGTCATCCTCTCTAGTAGTTATACCAGGATCATTTTGTCACGATGTCCTTGTAACTTCGCTCGAGATTCTTCTTTGATCCTTTTATCTCTAGGATAGGTGATACAAGACCAGACAAAAACAAGGGAACGAGAAAATAGAACAAGATATGAGGCAGAAGAAGGGGTTGGGAAGACAGATTGAAGAGATGGGTTAAATAGACTGAAGGGTTGAAAAAAGTAAGTACAGAATAGGGGGAGAAGAGAACAGAGAGAAATCTGAAGAAGCAATATTCAATATTCACCAAAAAGAACTAATGAATTCTGTTACATGAAGCCTTTTATAGGCAAACCCTAAAAGAAAATGAAATGAAATGAAATGAAATACTCAATAAATACTAAAATAAGCACAAAATGAAAATACTAAAATATCACTTCGCCTGCACCTGATGTAGGTGCGAAACACCTCACGATCTCCATCTCTTTTTCTCTGTCTCTCTCAACCGTTTCTGCAGCCGACTACATTCACTGTTGTGAAGATCGTGTGAAATTTCGACAGCTTCCGTGAAGGATATATCACCTTACCAAGGCACCTTTGAGCCTCATTTTCCTTCTCATTTGCCTACAGGTGGTCTACTTCATCATCAGCTCCACTGCCTCCCTTTCCCGAGTTCGGCCACGGCCTCGGTCTACTGACCAGATCACCAATATCCTTGATGGTCAAATCATTGCTTCGCCACATGATTCACGGCGATTCCTTGTTCGATGGAGAGGTCGTACGCAGTCAGGATTAAACATGGATTGTAGAGGATGATTTTTGCCACATTGATCCTGATTTCCTAGAACAGTATTTTCAGTCACTCTCCCGATGCAAGTTCTTCTCAACCAGGAAGAATTGATGGAGATCGTGAGGTGTTTCGCACCTACATCAGGTGCAGGCGTAGAGACATTTCGTAGGAATATTTTAGTCTTTTAATTTTTAGTGCTTATGGGTAATTTTTAGTATTTATTGGGTATTTCATTTCATTTTCTTTTCTTTTAGGGTTTGCCTAGTTTCATGTAACAGAACCCATTAGTTCTTTTTTTTTTTTTTTTTTTTTTTTGGTGAATATTGATTACTGCTTCTCAGTGTTATCTTCTCCCCCTTTGTTCTTGCTTTTCTCAACCCCTCAGGAAACTACAGCCCGGTTAGGTACGTGAGGCGGTTGCGCTTGCATGATCATGTTGAGTAGTTCGGACGGTAAGGCCTCAGTCTATCTAACCTATTTTTTTCAATCGGTCTTCTCACCCTCTTGCTTTTTTTCTGGTCCTGCATCAGAGATACCATATAATGTGCATCTCTTCTTTTATTGACCAAAAGGGCATGTAGCCCAATGGTATAACCTCCCCATCCTCGAAGAGGAAGGGAGGGGTTCGAGCCCGGATGTGGGCAATAAGTGCGTGTGAGTGGGTTTCTTGCTAATTTTAATATATATATATATATATGGAGAGAGAGAGGGTGATAGAAAGAGAGGGAGAGATAGAGAGAGAGGGGATGGAGGAAGGGATAGAGAAAATCGGAGGTAAGGGCTTGAGTCTTGTGGCGGCCATTGAGGAATTTAGTAGCAATGGGGGCTTTGTTCATGTTTAGGGTTTGAGAAAGTTAGATTCTGATCTAACAGCCTTTATCATGACCATGAGCAACAAGCCAATACCTATCTTTTAGTCATCATGATCATGGGAAACAATAACAATGAGGAGTTTTAGTGTCGGTATCATTGTAGGGATAGACTTCTAAAAAAAAGTATCACTGTGGGGATAGGAGCTTCAACTACTTTTGTGGACAAGAACCAAGAGGACAAACTTGTAATGATACAATGACTTAAGATTAATAAATAGTATTGCCATTTATTCCCCCTAGTTGTTAGTCCTAAGGGTTTTTTTTTTTTTTTTTTTTTTCTTTCTTTCTTAATTGATACTCACACACACGTGCCTCCACTGAGGCTTGAACCCCTGACCTCCCTTTGGGAAGTAAGGGTCTGATACTACTAGGCCACTAATCCATTGGTTTGTTAGTCCTATTGTTCTTAACGATAGATAGTATTTTATTATTAATTCGACTTAAAATCAATATAAATTCCAGTATAATAAATAAAACATCTTTTAAGTGCTCTTAGATTAACAACCAACCATCAGAATTGAAATGTGACAGGCTAAGGACAGAACATGATCAAAAATTGACTTTTTAGGGTTTGTCAATGATTAAAAAATCCAAAACATGAATAGCTGACATGCCATCTCACTACAATTGAGACCATTACATAAACTAATACATAGAAACCATGCTTTTGAAAGAAAGTTGGCATGCGAAGCCAAATCATGTACAAGATTGAGTGAGCACAAAGACTTGGCTAAATTATCACATGCTAAACTAGTGTGCATTCCACCAGTCAACACAACTTCAGTCTTCATTCAAATTTTTAAAAGAAAAGATTTCTGAGACCTTAGTGAGTAATATTTAGTCAATAGTTATTGGTCATTAAAATTACGTCAGCAATTCAACTGGGGTTTTTGTGCAAGAATGGCATTTCATAGGGCAATTCAACAGTGTAACCGTTTATTTAACTATGGCAGATAATTTACCCCGACAAGGATTTTTGTGCAAGAAGTGCAATTCAACACTCAATAGTATACCCAACTGATCTAACTCTAGCAGTAGCCAGTAGCATGACGCTAAAAAATTGCAATAAAATTTGAAATTAGATGGAATGAGTGCAAGGGTCAGTTTCCTATGAGAAGTGCACCAAAAAAAAAAAAAAAAAATTCGGGATGAGGAAGCAAGACAAACCTTGATTGAATACCTCAGCCGCAGTGTCCTTGCAAGGCAGGATCCTATTGGAATCAAAATTAAGCATGCTGATGGCATGTGGCAGCTGAATGCCTGGCGAATGCAGCAGCCCGTCAGTGCCCCCAGCTTTTTTCAGGTCCAATATACACCCATTTGTCAGTGTGAACTTGGAGCGGCTTGTGTTTTCCCATGTAGGACTTGCAGCAGGTCTTTTGTGAACAAGTGGAACATTGTTCAACTCGAAACTCATATGTTGCCTCCCACCTGTTCATGTAAAAGCATTTTAGATCAAATTATGTGCATACACGTGGTTCAAACCAAATTACTAACTCCTTCAAGTTGTACAAATGTATTGAGAGACCACATAGTTTTTTTTGTTGATGGGATGTATCACAAACAAAAAAGTGGACTTACACGGCAGAATAAAACAATTGTTCTAGAACTGGACTGTGTTAATGATAGATCTTTCTCAAATGCATTCAGAGGCCATCTGGAATATTTTAGAATGGGACCTATCACAAACAAGAAAGTGGACTTGTATGGCAGAATAAAAACTGTAAGGATAAATTACCCTAACTTCCCCATAGGTTTGAGCTAACCTATGGATGAAACTTTTGTAAAACTAATTGTGACACGCTAGGGTTAACCAATCAAACGGACATAAAGTTTAGTTGGAGGGGAATGAGTTGAAGAAATATTCAAATATAAACACGAGACACTTGTCATATTTGTCATGTAAAGCCCTCAGTGAATGTTCTGTCAAGATGTCCAACTATCATAAGTGGTCTGAAGTGTGTTGGGCCGAGTTCTGTAAATAGAGAAACTTTTATTTTGAAGATATTCAGCTGGTAAATTAAAAAGCACTTATATAATATGTTGCTCAAAAGGAATAAATATAGTTGAATCTAAAATAATGTTGGCATTTTAGAGGAATAAATAAATTATAGGCTGTTATTATGTAGGAACTGATCAGAAAATACAAAAACTCTATATGCCACCCAGTTGATTCCACGTGCTAAGCAAATTATTAGACGTGGATTTAACGATGCTTGCTTCCCCTTTCACTAAATTATATAGTTTCCCACGCATGGTAAAGAGTAGTAGGGTGGGTGTTCTCATTCCCGCATTAATTTGCTCTTCTAGACTACAGAGTTTAGTAACCTTCATACTTTTTCACAGCATCATAGCATTGGTCATTTTTCTTTTCATTTCCTTTTTTTTTTTTTTTTTGGTAGGTTAAACTCATCTTTACAATCACAGAATCGAGAGCATAGATGTATCTTTTGAAATTTTGATACTAGGAAGTACAGACAATTCATTTTCATTAAGAAGTACAAAATGTACTTTCGAATTTTCACTGCACTCACAAGCAAGGTAGCTTTTTTGCATTCCTTATCCAGTCAAGAATAATGCTTTTTCTATAACTTCATGAAATGATGGGTGGAAAAGCCATAATATATGTAACATCACCAATATATACAGATCATTCTGTTTCCGTAAGCCATGCCGCTTAAAATACAAAAGATTAAAAATGTTTCCTATGGTTTTGGTCCATTTTATAATTTCCACAATCTCTATGGGGCACGAAGTGACCTCTATTTTCCATTGAAGACTCAGATTTCTATCCATGTTGCTATTACGGCTATGAACCTGTCCAAGACACTACTCCTGATCATATATATTCAAATTCTCAGAAAACAGGAAATATATTTTCCTTAGATGATTAATATTTTGCGGGTTCATTAAACAAGATATAACCATTTTTAAGCAGTCACAATCAAAATATAAATTTATAACACCTGTCGTAGTTTAATTATGCAGATTCAACACATCAGCTTTATCTAAAATTTATTTTTCAATTACATCTCTAAGAATTAGGGGGCATTTCCTAATGCAGTAGTAAAATCTCATAGTAAAAAGCATGAGAACGCAGTTGTAGCCATATCCTGCAAACTATTGCCAATAGTTAGGTTAGAGTTTGGTGCACCCACGTAGAACCCTACATAGGCAAAATGAATACTGCATATGGCCTTTTTACGATCTCTCAGAATTTTTCAGACAACATTCTTATTCAAGAAGTCAAGTAAAACAACTATCAATATGTAAATGTCACTGATATGCATAATCAATCAATTGATTGGAAAAACAAAAAATGAAACCTATAGAGATCTACTCTTTTTTCGACGAATAACAGAGATCTACTTTAGTTACTCAAACGCATGAGTTCTTTTCTATGCATAATTGAAACAGTTGCAAGTAAATGACTTCGCTCTATAATTGTGAGTGGGCAAACAGTTATTTTTTTTATTCACCATTTCCACTAGTGGGAAGTTCTTTAAAAAATTATTTGAGATTGAGATACAAATATCACAACTTTTTAAGAAAACAACTTCAGCAAGTATAACACAAGAAGAATGTTTCATATTCTAAATTATCAGCCTGCATACAAGATCTTAAAATTAAAATAAATATCTAGTAGCATTTTAAAATGTCAAAGGAATCAATCAACAAAGTTTATATTAACAGGAAGGAATCAGTACAAAGTTAAGAGTTAGATGTGATACCATAAAATGATGAAGACAGCCTTGTTGAATCAAACTGTATTGCTTCCTGTGGCGGCTTGCGGCGCCGTGCATTGTGATCAGAAAGCCGCCTGCGACAGCTTCGCTTCTTTTCATCAAATTCAGACAAACTATGGAACCTTCAAAATCACAAACAAACCATATGCGTATCAAAATCATTTGCTAAAACCTAAGAGGAAGACTTGAAGCAAATTTAGATTTTAGATGATTGAATATGCAATATACGATAACATTAGGACGTGTTGAAAAAATCTGAGGCTAAAAGATACAATATGACTCACAGAAACAATCATTGTCATAAGAAGCTTACCTGCTACACTGTTGGCAAAACCGACGTTCTAGACCATTTACAATGACCTTCGTGCATTTTGAATGACTTTCGCAAACCTTATGCTTGCGATGATATTCTTTAGAAGATGAAAGGTCAAGGTTACAGCCTTCTACTTGGCAGCGTGGGGGAGGTGTGCTCTGGCAAGATGATTTGATTTTCTTTGCTGTAGTGGCAGATGAATTAGGAATCACAGCAAAAGGTGAGATCTTAGCACTGCTCTCAGCACAGTTATTCTCAAAGTACGTCCGCTTACCAAGTTTCAGACCAATCAATGGTTCACCAGAGCCAATCGAAGCCTCCAGAGGCGGAGCAATTCCAATTTGCTCATTTCTGGCCATTTCTTTCTTCTTGTTTGAGCCCTCAGGAAGACCTTCAAAAGTTTCAAAAATGAAATTGGAAGTTTTCATCCCCTCTTTTGATGAAGAATCAGTTGAAGCTGATATTGAGCTCTTTGCGGAAGAACCAAGTCCCATATCAGAGCCAGAAAAACCACTACCACCACCACCTCCAGATAAATTGAAAGACACAGCATCAAGTTCTCCTTCTTCAATCCCCCAATCTGTTGGTTGTAGCTTTTTAGGACTTTCAATCGCCTTTGAACTGAAAATCACCAGGTTTTCCAAGTCCCACTTCGCATTCCACTCCATTGCTGGGAAGAAGTTCATGAAAAGATTAGAGTTAATCTCTCCACTGAATGCAGAAGCAAAATGGCATGCGATCTGCATGTAATGTCATAAATATGACTTAAATATTGCTTAAATAGATTGACACAGAGCGCGTAAATTCACAGAAAAGGCATGATATAATGATCAGACAAAAGGCAAACACGTAAGGACAGAACTAAACTGCTAAGAAATTCTAGAAAGTAATATCTAATTTAGCAGAGGACCAAATTGAGTTTTGAAAAATTAAGAACAAGCCACGCCTTTAAGACTCAGACCACAAAAGGGCCACAGAACTCTGGTTCAGAAAGTTGATGTGTTGCAAAAAATAAATCCCTATATATCCTTTCAAAGCACAGTAACAAATCACTTGTTTCTATTCATGCAAATACCACTGATCCAGTCCCCCAGTCTAAACTATGCAGAGATTGAAAGAAAGAGATCCACTTCATCAATCCGAAACAAAGAAAAGAAAAATTCAACCCATTATCTTCAGAAATTGAACATACAAGTCAAGAGTACAACCCAACAAGGAATTGAAATCCAAAGAAGCTAAAATGCCTAAAACCCAATTATACCTGATATTCCTCTGCCTTTCACAATCACCAGGCTTTACCTTACAAGTATAGCACCTTACCAGTCTGAGGATCCACCATTCAGAAAATCTAAAATTACACTTGAGTTATACATGTCAAAGCTTATCATGAGTAGTGAAAATGGTAAACTTTCCGAAAGTTCCTGCAACCATTTGCAATGAATTGTGCTTTCCACCTATGTCCTCTTACTGCACAAACTCTTAGGAAAAGTTACTGCCTAGGTCATCGACTTGAAATTTACCCCTTCAATTCTACAGAGCTGGTCCACAACGTCAATCACCTCTTCTTCTTCTCTGTAGCCCCAATTATTCCAATAATGGAACTGTTAGCCGTCGCACACTTATACTCCTCTATTTTCAACCCTTCAATTCCATTAAAGGGCAAGCAACATGAGTATGATCAATTTAGCCCCATCAAAGCGGCCAAAGAATGTTCAATGATTTCACACTAAGCACGTATTCAATGATTCAATCTAAACCACAAAATATCTGAACCGTTAATTAATCGACTATAAACAGTTAATGAAACAAAAAAACCAACCCCAAAAAGATCTCGATCTCTGCTATCCAGTCATTGCCATCGTCACCGACCTTCCCACCTAACCAAAAAAGCACCAAGTCAATCAACATCAAGCTTTATCTTGAAAATGGAAAATCAATGCCTCACACAAGAATTAATGATGGACAAGGAAAAAAAATTGCTCAAATGCTTTTCAAGTGTTGAGCATTTACCATTGACTTGCCTAACAAGAAATAAAAGGAAAAGTCAATTTGGAACTCTTGATGCGAACTCTGAGAATAATGGAAAACCCAATTCTTAGGGGAAAGTAATGGTCCCCTTTCTAGGGTTTTACCGGCTTAAACTCCAAAACAAGAAAAAGAAAACAGTGTTGTCCAGAAAGAAAATCCACCTAGAAAACACGACGAAACGACTTCGTTTCCTTGGCAAACACCACTTTCCCGAGAAAATTAGTAAAGGAAAAAGGAGAAAGAAGCATTGATTGGATTACCTTTTCCCAAAGTCGAAAATCGCGACTTGGAAGTATTCAGAATTTGATGTTGGCTTCAATCTAATCTGGAAAATGAAACAGAGAGATGTCTCACCAAAATGGGAAATATCGACGACTACACTAACAACAACAATAGTGAATGAGCTCAGTCCCCAGTCCCCACTGAGCTCAATAATTTTGGAGCTAGGGTTTCTACTGCAACAGTAAGAAAAAGAGACGTAAAGTCAGAAATACAAACTATCTCGAAGAAATAACTTTCTATCCCCACTCTCACTCTCTCTGATTTTCTCGCCAATTCCGAGAAAGCGAAGGAAAATCAGAGTTTGTAACAGTCTCTCCAGAAAATAAGATGACTACCGGTACTTTTTGCGTATATATATACGGATATTAAAAAAGGCTTACCGATCAAAAATGCGTTCCGGGAAAAAGCTGGGAAGAGTGGACGGTTTTTACTTTACCAAATCGAGAAAGTTTTAGAGAGAGAGTGGAAGTGTGTGTTTTTAGAGAGAGAGAGAGAGAGTGGGGAAGGGCTTAGGTGGGCCAGGATAGGGTGGAGGGATGGTGATGGCAATTCCTTTTTTGTACTCATATAATTGGTTTATTATTGGTTACTTTTTCACTTGTAGACAGCTTTGCTTTCTTTTTATAAAAAAAAAATTATTTGTTTTTTAACCATAATTCAATAGAAAAAAAATTCATATATTAATTAATACATTCTTTAAAAAAAAAATTTATTTATTTTGCAGATCGGATCAAATTCAGTTCGAATCAGATTTTTACAGCCTAATCATGATCCGATTAGTGAGTTCTGGATTCAATTTTTTTTAATCCGCGTAGGTATATAATTGATTTATTATTGATTACTTTTTCACTTGTAGACTGCTTGAAATTTGGGATATATATATATATATATATATTCTAAATTGTCCAATACTATTTATCTTTTAACAATAATCTAATAAATAAAATTTCATTTTATTAACATTAATTCATATATTTAAATGATCATTAACAAATGCATTCAGTCATTAAATAATTAAATTAACTAATACATTCAATCATTAAATATATATATATATATATATATTCAAATATCTGATTGGATTGAGCTCACGAATCGGACTTTTACCATGATCCAATCCGTGTGTTACGGATTTAATTTTTTTTAATCCGTCACTAATTCATAAATGTAGCAATTCGATCGAATCCACATACATTGAATTAAATTACCGAAATATTTATCCACCCCTGAATAAATGTCAAGTTGTCAATGATTTATTATATATATTATAATCATAATTTATTATGTTGCAACTATCACCCTTTTATGTACACATTAGTGCACCCAAAAAAAAAAAACAAACATATAATAGATGATTTAGATTTTTGATATGAATGGTAGGTGTAACGGGTAGTCGCTTGCAATTTATCTAAAAACTTAAGTTATTGGGTAGTGCTGCATACCCATTCTTTTATACCCATTTCACTTCCCATCAAAATTCAATGTGATAAAAGTACCCTTTGTAACATTCTCTCCTACCCGAACTCGCAATACCCCTGTTGTGGTTGAACCACCCTGTCTACTCAGGTGGGCTTCACTTGGATGCCTCCGAATCTGGTGCTTGGCCTGATACCGGATTAAAGATTGGATCTAGTTCTGATACCAACTATTGTTGTAGTTTTGTGGAGTCTGATCACGTATTGATTATGTTTTTTATATGTTTTGATTACGTTTTTAATTGTTTATATGTTTTTTGGCTACTGACGTGTTTGAACCGGTTCAGAAGTTTCTACCGATTCAACTAAAGTGATAGCCAATCAATGAATAGGTTCAACTCTTGAAGATTAACTTCTGTCCATTTAGAACCGGTAGCCACTTCATGAAGAAATCTTCTCTTGCCATTTTGAACCAGTAGCCGTTTTTTATACTGGTTCAAGACTACGTTTTCTGATCTGTTTTAATTTCCTTACTGGTTTTGGATTCTACAAAAAGTAATTTTTTGTAGGACAAATTATTTGGGTCTATATATAACTCTAATCAGATTTTAGAGTGTAGAGAAAAGTGAGAAGAAAAAAAAGAGAGGATCATCATATATGTTGTATGATTGATTAATTTGTGCCAACATAAGAGAAAGTAATTGAGAGAGCTTGAGAGAAAATTATTCATTGTAATTCTTCATCTTTTTCATAGTGAAATTTGTTTGGTGCGCTCCATGGACATAATCCTAAGATTTGGGTGAACCAAGTATACCTTGTGTTCTTGTGCGTGATTAATTTTTTTTTATTCGTCGTGATTGATTGTGTTTATTCCTCGAACAACATTGTTACTTGTGTTCTGCTACAACAACTGGTCTCAGAGGATCCCGCTAATTTTGCAAAACAACTCCAACAACTATTACGGGTGGGTACTTGTCCATTTACTAAAAAACTTAAACTATTAAATAATACTACATACTTACTCATTTATATTAATTTCATTTTCTATTCAAATTTGACGTGGGACAAGTACCTTTATAACAATAGGCCATAAGAATATTTTGATCTATACGAAATCCTCTAATTAGATGGTAGAAAATTATAATAAAAGATTTACAGTAATACAGATTATGGATAAAATGTGGCTTTAAAAGTAACTCATACTAAATAGTACTTTGTTTGTCTCAAAAAAATAAAAAATATTCACCTTTTATTTTTGACCATTCCAAAATAAATATCCCAACTGAAAACGTAAAAGTATTATTATTATTATTATTTTTTAATATTACCAATTTAACCTTCTTAAATTATTTTTGATAACGAACCCATTATGGATAAATTTACTAATTAATTTGTTATCAATATAATAAAAAAACAAAAACCATGTTTTCACTGTATACTTATATTTAATTACCTATTTCTTTACATTCTTAAAATGTCGCTTTGAAGTGGTAGACGGGAAAATAATTGTCTTTTTGTGGCAGGTGTAGGGTTTAAGATTTGGCAATTTAAGATAAGCACACTTAGAGATCCACTACATGAAAATGATGGTAGCTTTTCAAATGGAAAACATACATACGCGGCCGCCAAATATGACGTATAACCCTACTATATAAACAATGTTAAAAAACTATCCGAAAAGGAAGTACATTTTGTCAATGAAAGTAATACTATTCATTAACGTCTCGAGAAGAGGGGCAGAAAAATAAAAAATTATAAAATAAAAAATTCTTCTTTGTTTAATTTTTAAAAAATTAATTTACAAAAATTCAATTATAAAAAATTATATTTTAAGAGAACTATATTTTATTATTCTTTAAAAGTTATTTTTTAAATTATTAAGAACTGTTTTAAGAGTTACAAATCAAACAAGTTATTTATTTTAAATTAATAAACATCAATTCATATAGTATGATTTGTATGAAAATCAAAGAGATTGAGTGGTCGAATCTTATTAGGAACAACATTGTTGGATTTATTTGAACTTTTGGCAAGAAAGAAAAAAAAAATATATATATATATATATATATATATATATATATATATATATATATATATATATTGTTTTTTGTTTTTCTGTTTGTCGTGGAAAGACTTGTTTTTTAACCTTATAAAACTAATGTTGACCTTTGGTGCTTCATGCCGAAACAATACATACATACATATATATATATATATATTGATTTGTAACACACACCCGACACACTCACAATCACGTATACTGATAAGTATCACACACCCAACACACTCACAATCACACCCAACCAACACTTAATATAACGACACACATTCATGGCAAAAGTCCAATATGGTATCATTATAGTTTGACCTTTCTTTATCATGGAAAGTGGGCTTTAGTTCTTGGGCCAAACTGAAAGATCAAAAGACCATATAAGAAGAGAGTCTAGCCCACTAAGGAGGTCCATCAAATTCTCACCGAGCCTTCCTGATCAGGCCTTGTATCCATCAACAACATGGGCCTGGAATAGGTCGACCTTCAGTTGCTAGTTCCGCCCCAAAACTAATCGGTCCATGGCCAACAGGCCCTGAACCTTTGAACCACCCATGGAGGAGTCATGGGTCCACCAATAACCCTCCGTAGTTCTTGCAAGTATAACTTAAAAAAAGAAGTTTTGTTATGGCATCGATAATTGCTTTCATTTATTTATTTATCTTTTTCCCTCCCTGTTGATACTCGCACAACCCCCCTTCCTCCCCTTCAAAGAATTGTTTACGCGTAAGAGGAGTGAAATCTTATTAGACCTGATACTTCCTGAGGCACCAAAGCCAAGTTCTTATCCACTTGAGTCAACCCCTTTCACCCTTTAAATTTGTTTCTAATTTTAGTCACAGCCCAGTAAATCTCACAGAAATTAGCTCGCATTGAATGTTACACAATTCGCTAAAAATAAAAGGACATCCAACTCATATGAAATTTTACAACTAGAATCAATAAAAAATAATAATAATAATAATAACAAAAATTTAAAATTGGGTTTGATTAATTGATCAAAAGTGTGCATAGTGCACCAATAAATGTTTAGTGTCAAACATGAAAATGCGAGTTTAAATTTTTTTTTATTTAATATAAAACTTCTCGTATACATAAAATGGAAGAACGATAGTGAATTATGAAATACTGAATAAAACCCTGCACCACCATTATCCACACACGGCAGAGCGCGCAAAAAAAAAAACAAAAAAAAGTGTGTCATGACTCATGAGAGGGTGGTATTTTTCTGTCAAATATAAAGGAAGCCCACATTTTTGGTTGTTCAACTTTATTAAGACTTGGTCTGAGTTTTTTAATTGAATTTTGCAAGTACCACCCCCTTTATAATTAGCCCCATCTTCTTTTTCTTTCATGCATACCAAAAGACGATGCTTCCTCACACCAATGCCAAAATTATGTACTTGTCAAACTAATATTTGTATTGTCCTTGCTAAATAGTGTCATGTCAAGCTAATCCCTACGCAATGCAACAACATTTTTCTTTTGTTGTACGAGTATTTATTTTTTATACCGAAAGTCTTGACACAATGTTAGAATTCTAGCTCTTTCAGTGTAGTATTTCGTTGATGGCTCCTCCCTCTTGTAGCCGCCTGTGCAAAGAGGGGCCTTCTTCGCCCTCCACCTAAGCTGTATGGGAAAGGCCCAAAACAAATACTAAGCAACCATAAAAATCCATGGGTGAGTATACACCTCTTTCTGTAGGTAAGATATACAAGGTATAATTTTTATTTGTAATAGGAGTCGAAAAAGAAAATAAAAAATATATTTATACTCTTTCCATTCTAAAATTGTTACTCTTAGGGGGGAAAAAATAAAAAAGATTTTTTTTTTCTAGGCAAAAAAAAAAAAAACTAGCCAATAGTAGGA